TTTTTAAGTGTATGGGTTATATTTTCCTATGTCTAATTTTTTGTTGTTGTTTTTGTTGAAAAGCAGACATTTTAGATAGCCTATTATATTAACTCTGAATTCACTGCCCCACTTTAGAGCTGGTCTTTATGTATCCTGGTTTTGGGTAGTTTTATACTCCTGCCTCCAGAATGTTATACTTTTAATGCTGCTCCTCAGAGGGTTCAGATTTGGGACTGCCACAGTTACCCTGTGATGAGATTGATTTTTGACAGGGCTCTGTTTCTCACCATGCCTAGCTATTAAAGCTCCTTTACTTGCTAGCTGACTGCTTTACTGATTTCAATAGTACACTAAACCAATTAGACCCACAGACTAAACCAATTAAACATGAATTCCTTCTAAGAGAGAGTTTCAGAAATCAATGTTTGAGATTTTGACCCATGGTGATCTCTTCCCAGCTCTGTCTTTCGCTGGTATTCTCAGGCAAACTAATGGTTCTATTCTAAGCCTTTGTCTAATCGATCTACCAATTTTCTCCCAATTACCTTTCACCGCAACCTCCACAGTTTGAGACTAACCTTAGGCTTGAACTTCTTTACACTCTTCCTTTAGGAAGAGATTAGGAGCTGATTTATAGCCCTGTTTTCTCAACAGGCAAAAATCTCTGAGCCAAAGCTCTGGAGCTAGGAGTGGGGAAAATGGCACACTTCTCACTGCGTGACATCTCAGCTTCACTTGTCCAAAATAGAGCCTCTGTTCCAGGGCAGGGACTGAGTAGAAAAGGGGTGGGGGCCTATCTCTTGGTTACACTTGGCTAACAACAGCAGCTGGAGGCAGGAAGAAACATGTTTAGTATGCTCCTCCCCAGAAGACAGTCAGTGGCCTGGAACTGGGGAACAGACTGTAACATTCTGGAGCAGAGTTATCTCAGTTGGGAGAGGTAAGGAAGAAGTGGGTTCTGGATGAAATAACACAGATTCTTGTTGCTCTTACCAATTTTAATAAATTTTCTTGGATAAATTGTCTTCAATAGCTTGACTTCTTTTAGAACATTTCCAGAGACTAAACTTTTGGCTTTTTCCCCAGTAATATTCACCAGTTTTGCTTTCCTGACATGCTATAAGGACTGAAGTCCCTCTCAGCCAATGAGCTTTTAAAAATGTAAATTAGAGCCCCATATTATAGTATGGATGTAAGGCATCCCCCCAAAACAATGCAAGATGGTTCAGAGAAAAAATGATTAGGTTGTGAGAGTCTTAATACAATGAGTGAATTAATCCCCTGGTAGGAATAACTAAGTAGTAACTGAAGTGGTAGGGTGTGGCTGGAGGAAATGATTCATTGGTGGTATGGCTATGCGGTATATATTTTGTATCAGGAGAATGGAGTTTTTCCTCTCTCTCTGCTTCCTGATCAACAAGCAAGCTACTTCTCTCGGCCACACTCTTCTGCCATGATGTTCTGCCTCACTGTGAGCCCTAAGGAATGGAACCAGCCTTCTAAAAACTGTGAGACCTAAATAAACCTTTCCTCCTTTACAATTTTCTGATTGGGTTCTTTTAGTTACAGCAGTGAAAAGGCTGACTAAAATCTACCTTGTGTGGTAGTACAAGATACCTGTAGAGCCTAAGGCAAGAAGATCACAAGTTCAAGGCCAGCTGGCCTCAGCAACTCAGTCTCAACTATTTTGAGACAAAATTTAAAATATCAAAATTAAAAAAGGGCTGAGGATATAGCTCAGTGGTAGAGTACTCCTGAGTTCAATTCCAGTACCACCACCCCCCCAAAAAAAGTAAACTAGATCATGTGCCCAAACTTTGTAAAAATTCCCTTCACATTTATAACTAAGTCCAAATTCCTTACCAAGTTCCACAAGGTTCTATATGATCCAGTCCCTGCCCATCACTGGGATCTCATCCCTCAATGTTTTTTCTCACTTCATTCATTGTGCTCTGACCACTCTCTCCAAGAGTCTGTGTATCTGCTGCTTCCTCTTAAAAGCTCTTTCCCCAGTTCTTCCATGGCTTTCTACCTTCTTTGACTCTGTTCTCACCTCAAGATCATCTCTAAAATGGTACCTGTCATTCAGTATTTTTAGTGTCTCCTTTTATAAGTTGTTGAGAACCTTTGTATTTTCTTATTATGTATATGTAGTGCCGAGAATCAAACCCAGTGCCTCACATATGCTAGGCAAGTGCTGTACCCCTGAGCTGACACCAACCCTTTACTGTCTTCTTTAATTTTTTTTTTTATTGGTCGTTCACAACATTACAAAGCTCTTGACATATCATATTTCATACATTAGATTCAAGTGGGTTATGAACTC